GTCTTTTCTTTGGTGTTTTTAAGTATGGGGGGGGGGGGGGCGAAAAAAAATTCTGCCCCGGGCGCCCATAACTCTGGTTACGCCACTGGCTTCAACGCATACATAATAAATGGCAACAACAAAGCAGTCTCCGACCAAGGATTGGTCTTATGAACACTAAGAAATGGGTGAAACCACTCACTGATGAACACCAAGTACTTCCCATTCACGTCCAAGATCCACAGGAGTATGTAAGCTATGCAGGGTTTCGGGATGAATCTCTATCAACCTGCATAGGAGAGACCAGCCCACCTGCAACACATAAAGCCTATGCTGCATCATACATAAGCAATCCACTACTGCAAAGCATTCCTTTAATAGTCACATGACCACTTTCTACATCATTATAGACACAAAAATAATAATTAATTAAATGGAAATAGCTGGAACCTTTGTCTTTTATGAACAAACACTGGACACTTAAATTAGCAAACATGACAAAAGCGGAGGTTTACACAAGTGCACTTGATTTTACAAGAAGAAATTGCTCAACATAATAACTACTTCTAATTCCGGTGGTGATATTTCAGGATCTCTACCACTTGGTGAATAAGAGGATGAATAATAAGGGCAAGCCATTTTTATATGTTTCAATATCTATGTTGTCCTGGTTTACACTCAGAAAGTAGGCGTGGACAGTAGGGATTCACCGATACCGTTTTTTCGGTAGCGAGTATCGATATATTTTTTTTGGCACTTGTCGATACCAAATACCGATACCGGAAGTCCCATTAAAGGAAGCCAGGCCAATAAGGACGCTGTGCGGTTATGGCACCGATATCGATACTAGTATCGGTGCATCCCTAGTGGACAGTATTGAGCTTTAAACACAAATGTTAAAATGCTGATACGAAACAAACATTTGCAATTATCAGACAGATAATGTCTATGAAAACAGTATACTTTTAGAAATCTAACTTCCATATTACCCAGGATACATTGTTTGTTATAGTAGAACTCCAGCCAAAAACAAGATCTAAAATTAACCACTTTCCGTCAGTCCGTAGTAATTAATTGGCTGGATGGTGGCTTCTTGAATGAAGGTGGATGTTTTAAAATGTCCTTTCTCCCACTCCCGCTTGTGGGACCAGCGGGAAACTGTTTGCATTTGAAACAGCCAGCGATGGCTTTTTATATACAAGCGTTCAGGCAGCTCAAGCTTGTATGTTGTGTTGACATGTGCAGTCCCCCGCCTCCGCCACCTATCCCAGGCTCCGCTGTGCACAGTAGCTCTCGATACGGAGCTCGGAGGTAGATCAGCACACGATCTCCCACTAATCTCCCCTCAGATCTCTGAATGCAGAAGTGGTGTGTATTACATCACTTCCGCCTTCAGCTGTCATTTCCCTAGAGTGAAGCTGGTGAAGCAGATCACTGCCAGTGTCTGCAACTCAAGATTGTGGTCTGCATAAAACTCCCATAGTACACTGCACGCAGACCCCTTCAGAGACAAGAGTAAATTTGACCAAGGAGAACAGAATGTCCATGTGACTGGCAAAATGGGCTCAAGAATGCCAGCAGTTGCAGTCCCAGGGCACTCATGTAACCCAACACAAGGGGCTCCCTCTTACTGATCTTGTTTGGCATTTTCACCAGCTACCAAACATCAATGAAAGCAAATGTTAGGAGCAATCTTTAGGTATATGTTTTCTTTAGGTATATGTTTTCTTTTTCTTTATGTTGAATGGAAAATGCTTTTTTCAAATGGTGATATTAAAATGAAGCTAGAGTTCGGTTTTTCAAATGGTGACATCAACATGAAGCTAGAGTTCCGATTTAAAAAGTAAAAGCACCTTTGGAGCCACTGTGGTACACTACAGGATGTGCAAGCAGACAGGAGGAACAACAGCAGCTCGAGGGGGAAGCAGAGAGGTGGTAGGTTTTCCTTACACGGGCCACCAAAAAGATAAGTAAATGCTTCTTTTAAAGGTGAGGCTTTTTTTACAAAAGTAATCTGTGGCCTTATTCAATATGGTCATGCTTGTATAGTTATGTTTCATAGACATGAATAGGGCAGTCTCCAGACTGTCTCTAGTCTCAGGAGGGTGAGGACAGTAGAATAGGGCACTTTCCTGAAAAGTTCACTTTAAATTTTACATCAGAGCACAGTTAGTGAAGTATGATCTGCATACTTGTTTTTTTCAGAAAGTACTGAAGGCATGGCAGCCAGGTAACTAGCATTTTTCAGAACAGGCTGTCAGCAATGGTTTAGTTTAATATATTTTCACAGCTCTTGAGTTTGCTAAGGCTAACAGTTACTAACTTAGTGACACTGAAGGCTGTGTTTTTTTTCCTAATGCTGCTGTAAGGTCTTACCTTATATGTTGCCTCTTGATGTGTACATCTTCCTTCCAGTTGTTTCGAGCTGTCCCCCCAGGGCTGGTGCCGTTCTCCAATGGAGACACCCCTGCATGCGCTCTTCTGGCATGCGTTCATTGACTCACATTGTAAGCTATTCCTCATCCCCCATCCAGCAACCTCACGTGCACATGCGCCAGCACACCTTCTCCTACACTTATGTTTGGGAAAGCTTTGCCAGCGTAAGTGGCACAGAGCAAGGTAGATGTTTTAATGTTTGGGCACACTGCAGGTTTTTTAAATGCTCGGCCATGCTATACTGCTTGCTAGAATAATGTAAAAACAAATCTGTGAGTTTAGCACCACTTTAATTGTCATTGACTACTGCTGGTAAATCTAGTAGTGGTGCAGTGGTTAGCACTTCTGCTTTGCAGCACTAAAGGTCCCAAGTTCAAATCCCGGTCAGGACACTATCTGCAAGGAGTTTGCATGTTCTCCCTGTGCTTGTGTGGGTTAACTACGGGTACTCCAGTTTACTCCAAAGACATGCTGGAAAGATTAATTGGCTCCTGTCTAAATTGGCCCTGTGTGCATGTGAATGTGCAACTATGTAAAGTGCTACGTAAAATTGTCGGCGCTACATAAAAATAAATGTAATAATAATTACACGGTTTCTCTAGGAGGCCAACAGTTTCAAACAGAATGCTTTGTAATGTACGCAACTGAGCATGAGGATTATCGAATGTGGTATGCGAGAGAAGTCGGAATTCCCCTGTGCTAGTTTGGGCTCCTGTCAAATATTTTCATTTTTTCTTGCAAATCTTTTGATTGCTCGAAAATCTTTAAAAAAATAAAAATTATCTATATAAGAATTATTACCTTTTGTACAGACGAAACTTTCATATAGGAGTCCAGTACCAACAGCAGAGGTGAATGCACATTTATTCGACTGAATATTTCTGATGCTAAATTTGAAAGATTAAAAGCAAAGTTTAGGGTTCAGGAAAACAGAAAAGCAACGATAAATGATGGTTGATACTTACCACCTTTACAAAAGGTGGAACTGTGTAAATCTTCCAAAATTTGGACTAGTGTGTCTATCTGCTTTCCCTCTTCGACATTTCGGAGTCGTACAACAAGCTTCTTAATAGTTTCTTCAAGTTCTTCCATACTGGCCATGGTTTTTCTTCTCCAAAAAGGTTCAACATTTAGAGTTCCTTCACATTACAAGCACCACTGAAAGATGAGCATCACAAACAATACTCACGGACACGCACAAGATAAAGCACATTGACAAGTCTTTTGGACAGCAAAAATTACATACTTGAAGCAGTGATGTCTGTCTCGGTCACACCCAACATAATCACATGAGCACATCGGTCACTGACACTTAGGTATGCTTACATAAAGTTGATCTGAAACAGGAAGCAATAAGGAGAAACCGGTTTAAAAAGAAAGTATGTTTTTTACCACAATATCATGCAAAGTAAAAATGGGATTATGCTTTAAGCCGTTAATAAAATAGCTTTTATACTTAAACTGCTCCCAACCAATCCACCGATCTAGAGACCTAAAACAGAGTGCTATGCCATAGTTTAATTTGCTCCAACAGGGGGGAATAAATCCTTTCTGGTCCCATAAGGCAATCGGATATTCCCTGGATCAACAATCTCTGGTGCTTAATATACCTATAAGAACTCCAATTAATATCCAGTAATATTCTGTGCATTTAGGAATACATCCAGATTTATTTATTTTTAAACAATTAACTGAGCTAGCTAGAACTAGCTCCTGGGGAGTCTATTCCACTTTTTCATAGCTCTAACTGTGATCATGTCCCCCCTTAGTCGCTTCTTCTCCAGAGAGAACAAATTCAGGTCAGTTAATCTTTCCTCATAGCCTCTTATCAGTTTGTTGCCCTTCTTTGTGCTTTTTCCAGGTCCATAACATCCTTTTTTTGAACTGGTGCCCAAAACTGAATACATATATCATATGAGGTCTTACTAAAGATGGCCATACACCCATAGAATATCTGCAGATTTTCTAAGGTTAGATGGAAAAAGTGCAACAGATTCCTCCAACTACGCTAAACTGTGTGGATGGAGGAATCTCCCACTTAGCATAGATAAGAAAATCTGCAGATAATCTATAGGTGTATGACCAGCTTAATGCTTTGTACAGGGGCAGGATGATGTCTCTCTCTCTAAAGTCTAGGCCCCTTTTAATACAAGAAATTTGTATTGCTTTAGAAACTGCTGCTTGACATTGCATGCTATTATTGAGTCTATGATCTACCAGAACACCCAGATCTTTCTCCATCATTGACTCCCCCAAACATACTCCCCCTAGAGTATAGGACGCATGCATGTTTTTAGTCCCCAAGTGCATAAGTTTACATTTATCAACATTAAACCTCATTTGCCAAATAGTTGTCCAATCACACAATGCATTCAGATCTGCTTGTAGGTTGGAGACATCCTGTAAGGACTGTAGTCCACTACATAACTTGGTGTTATCTGCAAACACAGAAATTGTATGTTTAATCCCCAATTCTATGTCATTTATAAATAGATTAAACAGTAAGGGGCCCAACACAGAACCTTGGGGGACACCACTAACAACCTCAGACCATTCAGAATATGTATCACTGATCACCACTCCCTGAATTTCACTCACAAGTTGCGAGTACTCATTGGCCAGTGTGGTCAGGTGACCATGCTGGCCAATGAGAAGAGTTTCTTAGCACTTTTTACTATATTTTTATTTGTAAAGCATGTACAAATAAAAATATAATAAAACAGTATTTAAAAATTCAAAAAATTGAAGAGACAGGGCAAAAAAAAAAAAAAAACAACCCTGAAAACCCTTTCAGCTAAATAAAAAAAAAAGTGTACATATAGCCAAAACATTTTTTTTATAGTTTTGGATAGAATTGGGAAGGGTTAAAAGCCCTGCCAGGTTATTTTTTTTCTCTTTGCGTACAGTTGGGGAGATTTTTTATTTTTTTTTAATTACTGCTGTGTAATTTTTTTTAAAAGTCTCCCAACGTGAGGAGAATAGCCCTCTTAAGGTGCCCATACACCTGACGATTATCGTACGATAATCGTGGGTGATCCCGCGATCGTACGATAATCGGCAGGTGTATGGGCAGCGTGCAACCTCTTCTACTGTAAGGTCGCACGACATTCGTCTTCCGGGCACACTTGAAAACCTGCTGAACATCATACGATTTTAGACGGGTTATTGGCGTGCTCAGGAGACGATCGCACACTGCTCGCTCAGCACTGCAATCATCAGAAGCCCTCCCCTCAGCAGGGAGGACTTGCGATGATCGCAAGTACGATCTGCCTGTCCAAGATGGAGCAAATCGTACAAAATTTGAATTACCTTACAACCATCGCACAACGAAAGTCGTGCGATGGTTGTAAGGTGTATGGGCAGCGTTAGATAGCTGTTGTCCTGTTGAGGACAAGGGGTGTAGAAATTTAAAAATAAACGACTTGTCCAAAGACTAAACCGGGGCCCAATCTACTTGTCCTGATACACAAAATGATGCAAACCAAAACCATATTTAACCGTGCTAAAAAGCCCTTTTCATTGTGCTCTTAACTTGTGAACGCAATTCAATCTCCATAGTGTAGGACTGCGCTGGACAGCAGTATGGGGTACAGATGTTACACCCATACAAGCAGAGGAGAAGGACCATTTTCTGAAAGGTAAGTGTAGTTGGGAAGGGAAAAGATTTCAGGGGGTAATTCCATTATCCCAAATTACTTGGGAAAGTGAACTTACCCTTTAATGCACATTGTGTGTGAGAACGCTGCCACAATATGGGGGGTGGGGGATTTTGGACAAACAGACTTCTGCAACAGCCACCCAGATCACTTGTACAAAACGAGCGGCGACTCCCCATCTCTATATTTAGGAGCGAAAAAAAAGAGAACACCTGCCCGATGCCTGGAACTGCACACCCCTGGGATAACCATCAAATTGTGGATTTTCCATCACTTTCTATTTAATTTACAATGGTCACCAGTACAAATAAAAAGGCTAAAGATCTCCTATGTGGGGACACACAGCAGTAAACACTTCAGAGGGTCTAACTCTTACCTATTTTATACAAAACAAAAAAAAACAAAAAACTGAAATCAGGTTTAGCTATACACACATTTTAAAGAGCATGCTTCACAGTGCTCAAGAAGTGATACAGCAAAACCAGAGCCAAGACTGTAGCATGTTACATAAAAACTTTGTGATATGACTGCAGAATGTACACCAATCAGCCAACAACATTATGGCCACACGCTGAACAATGAGTATGTCCCCCTTTTGCCTCCAAAACAGCCCTGACCCATCAAAGCATGGACTCCACTAGACCGCTGAAGGTATGCTGTGGTATTTGGCACCAAGCCATTAGTAGCTTGGGAAGGGGGTTTAACACCGCGGATGTCAACTGGTTAAAGTCCTGTAAGTTGCGAGGTGGGGCCTCCGTGGATCGGACTTGTTTTTCCAGCACATCCCACAGATGATCGTTTGGACTAAGATCTGGTCAATTTGGAGGCCCACACCTCAAACTCATTGGTGTGTTCCTCACACCATTCTTGAACCATTTTTGCAGTGTGGCAGGGTGCACTATCCTGCTGAAAGACGCCACTGCCATCAGGGAATACCATTCCATGAAGGGGAGAACTTGGTAAGCAACAATATTTTGGTAGTTGGTACGTGTCAAAGTAACAGTCACATGAATGGCAGGACCCAAGATTTCCCAGCAAAACATTGCCCAAAGCATAAATTTGCCTCTGCCAACTTGCCTTCTTCCTATAGTGTATCCTAGTGCCATCTCTTCTCAAGGTAAGTGACACACACACTCAGCTATCCACATAATGTAAAAAAAACTTGGATTCATCGGGCCAGGCCACCTTCTTACATTGCTCCCCCAGGACCAGGAAGTTCGGGGGAAAGCCGGGTATCTTCCTGGCTTTCCCCCCGAAAGGTACTGGGCATTTTTTCCCCTTGATGCAGAGACTGCATTAAAGGATACTTAAACCCTCTGGGTTTTTTGCATACATCTACTGCCGAAAAGTTACCAATAGGGTTTAAAAACGTACCTGTATTTCCGCTGCACACTCCAGTCCGAAGATCATAGGGCGGACGCATTTGCAGTAGAGATCTTTGGCCAGGAGAAAGAGTGAAACAGGGTAAGTCTAGACAGCCCGGCAGGGTGCACCCGCACAGACACCGCAGGACAGGAAGACACAGCAGTCAGCGCTGGATCAGAGACCTGCACCAGTGCTGGAGGGACTCCTGAAAACTACTGGAAGGAAGATGATCGGATCAAGAGGCAACATGTAAGGTAAGTCCTCAAAGCGGGGGGTGGGGGGTAGACTTTAATGTCACTTTAAGGTAAAAAAAACACCTAGCCTTATGTAATATTTTAATTTCCCTGGCATTGGACTTTAAACAAGTCTTATTACAGACAGCCTCAAACTAACAGCTCGAACACTAACCACAGATGAACTCTGCATCCATTTGAAATTTTGATCTACATTTTGTATTATCTTTGGAAGGGATATTCTGTTGATAAACAATGATACGGTTTTGTTTTTTTCAGCTCAACCCAAACTCCAATCACACTTGTATTTGAGACAGTCTCATGAATTCCTCCGTGAGCTGTGTTTATGCCAACAGCTGCAGGTGGGCAGCACTATACAAAGCAATGCAATCCGTGTCCATTTGCAATACCTACAGATTATCGCCCCTGAATGCAAACTGTTTTGTGTCCAGGGGTGATCATTCACAGGTAACTGCGGCATGTCCTATTATGTGCGAACGGCTGCAGACACTGTCAGTCTCTCATTGCTTTTTTATATCACTTCCCACCTGCAGCAGTTTGCATACACACAGCTGAAGCTCACAGAGGAAATCGTGAAACTGTGCCAAATGCAAGTGTGACTGAGACCTAACCATATACAAAATATATTCATCTATACTATACCTATACTAACCTTATGGCAAACCATTCAAATTTTACACATTGCACAATCCCTTCCTTTTAGCCCTGGAAAAAAATTGTCTGACGGTGAGAGGAAAACGCCCATACTGTTACATTTTTATTTGCACATCTAATCAGAACAATCAGACAATGGAGCAATACATAGTCAGGCTAATATGTGCTGATTTAGGGAGAGCGCAACTAGCTAACCCTTATACACTGGTACCTCGGTTCACGAACTTCATTCGTTCCACAATTCTAGTTGCAAATTAAATTGTTTGCGAACCGAATCAAATACTGTATGTGCTAAAAAGCACACAAAAAAGCTTCACAGCAAGTGTGCACAGGTCTGTCTGCGACCGCGATCTAGACTAGAGGAAGCCAGAGCGGGGAAGATGGCCGCGTTTGTGTTAGTCACCCAAT